TCAAGATGGCTGCCCCCAAAATAGTAAATATCGGTAAATTAATCGCATTAACTTCTTATTTATAACTTGTTTGGCGGTATATCAGTATATTGCAGTTATAACCATACGCCAAGAAGTAATATGACTGACTAAATAGTAGTCTGCGACGTGTGAAATCGCTGAACGTGATCGTAATTCTCAGTTGCATTGGAGCTGAGGAACTTTTGTTAACATTTGATATAGACTCATCTCAAAAACACGCAAAGTACGATATTAAACATTGAATGACACATTGCGATCCTGGCTAGGGGGTTAATTGCATAAATTATGATAATGAGCTAAAACAACAAATTGATATTAAACGAAAATGCTCGAAGATAAAAACAAATGTTCAAAACAAAAAATATTCTGAACAAAAAAAGAAAGATCAAAGCTAAATAAATGCTAACGGAAAAACAGAACAAACAATGTAATCAAAAAAATATTAAAAACGATCATATAACAAATATAATTGAATGCTAGAAGGAGAAAAAAATCACTTGGCGCAGATCTCGCTCCATATAATTAATTAATTATACACTGCCCCCTTAGATTTATTTTAAAATACCACAATACACTGTAAACAGCTTTCGTTGCAGAATTTCTAATTTTAAAATACATAAATATATTAAAGAATCATCTGTTACACAGATTACCGTTTAGCTTAATTAATTGACAGCGTATCACACCATACTCGGAGGCATTTTAATTTCCCTGGTTTCCTCCAGCCGAACGTGGATTTCGATGGTTGTGTAAGGTAGGCGCTGGTATCCCATATGAGGTTTGGTCTTATATGTCAATATTGATACTAATTCTGAGTTACTGTCACTGAGTTGATTGATGACTTGGCGTGAAATATACTCGATTCTCCTCTTGTATAAAAAATGCGCTGTTATAATCTAATACACACGAGCTGGCGCTCATACAATATGTACGTATTCGAGAAATAACGCATCGATGTAGAAAATGTGTGTACAGCAAAGGCATCATCGGTGTGTGGTTGGAGTGTTGATGGCTGTAACTATAATGGTGTGTGGGTTGTACCAGGTTGGCATTTCAAGGTATACGTCGGCGACTGGTGTTAACACCGTTAGTCAAAACAGAATTCTTCCGTCAGGGAATTTAGTCATAGCTGTTCAAAAATATCTGAATGTGTCGTCTGCTATAAAAATCACTAACATTCAACGACGAAACAACATTAGTAATGATATGATATTAAAAGCGTTGACACGTGTGACCTCACTGACGAAACTGAGACAATCACTGGAAGATGTTATAGTAAAAAGAAGAAACCTAACTATTGGTGTCACCGGTGGGTCAATTTCAACAGCCACTGGCGTGGAATCTGAAAACCTTTATGCAAATTTACTAAGTGATCTCCTATCTGGTATTGGGATAGGCAGCTCTGTGCAAAATGGCGCGGTCGGAGCCACGGGCAGTCTGTATCACTTCTACTGCATGGAATCACATTTGAACTTGCAACAACTGGATATTCTACTCTGGGAATGCGCGGAAAATGACCTTGTCGACGACAATGGATGTGTTCACCAGGAAGAATTGACAAGGAGGATTTTGAGCTTGCCTTCAGGACCGCAGCTCATATATGTGAATTTTATAATGAGTCAAACGGCAGAGTCGCCAGTAGGGACTTCAGCTAGCGGCAATTGCAGCAAAATGCTAAGCAAATACTACGATGTACCATCTATTAGTTTGCTCGACTCAGTAGATGATATGATCAGCGCTCGCAATACAAAGAGTCTTTTCAGTCCTCGTGATCACAACCATCCAAGCACAAAATCTCACAATATGATTGCGATATATCTGTTTTATATGATTAAGAATGCCTTTGTATACACTCTCAAAGAATTCAACGGTAAGCGAGATACGATGGTGAAAACGTCTTATCCGCTCGCGAATGAACTCCCCGAGTCACTATACAACTCTACTGTTCACATCAATCAACCACAGTGTTGGACAACTATGTTATCTGGCTCTGGGACCAAAACGCCACTTGAAGCAATGGAACGCGATATTGGATGGAGACTGTTTACGTGTCCAGACAGGATGGCCCACCAGGGAAGGGTTGATAAAAAACGTTATTGGGTGTCGAGAAAACCTAACCAAACAATAGTCTTTAGTGTCAGCATCGAACCTTACAAGAACCTGAAAAGTAAACTGTTAATTGGTAAAATCAACGAAAATTCTCGTGGACCGGCTTTAGTTTGGCTTGATGGTGAATTCAGTCATCGACGACACATTAACGTTGGGTATAACACTGATAATTACTCTGTTTACAGTGCGTTCACAAACATAGCCCCGGGTAACCATGCAATCGCTATACGATCAGGAGAGAGGCCTTTAAAGATTTCAACAATTATTAGTGTATATGACAAAGACTAATTATCACACAACAAACGTAAGTCATTATACAGAATTTGTTGAATACGTATTTCAATTAAATCCGTTTACTCGATTCTGATTTCCAGAATGATTTATTCAAATCATTTCGTGTCATTTCATTGCATTTGCATGATTGGGATTAGAGTAGGAAACAGAAATGTTTGTTTATTTCAATATAAATAAAATATAAATTGTATATAATGTTGACGATCAAGTATATGTCATGAATTAGTTTCCGCGTATCTGTTGTCCGACTTATTTAGTTGATTTCTAGTGAATGGCTGTGTTATATCTGTCATCATTTAGGCTCATGCGAGGTCCTGGACGGAACTTGGTTCAGTGATTTGGAACTAATTGAGATATAACCGTTGCTATCCGGACCGCTATTTCTGACAGTTGGTATTTGCTGTTAGTAATATAGTGAACAATTAATCAAAAGATATGACGTATTCAGTACTTAGTTTGACTGGCTATGTGCAAGTTGAATGTGTGAAGGCCACGCCTTAAATTCTTTAAACTGCTTTGTAATTGGTTAAGTTTTGATAGGTAATAAACAGACTAAGTCCTTGGTCCCAGAGAGAGCTCCACGAGGCGAGAGAGTCTTCTTGGTCAGTCCTGGGCAGAGTCTCCGACGAGGCAGTTTGCCGTCTCATCGGCCTCCGCTGCGCGTCGGTCGATACTTCCGCTGTACTGCCTTCGTGCATACTTTTCGGTATCCCCGTAATAAATTCATAATATATTTACACACGAGCAATAGCAAGTGTGTATAAGGGAGTGAACTGGACAAAATGTCTTGGTATAGTTGGGTCCTCATGGGACGTATGGTTATTCCTATTATATTACACCAGTCTCAATTTCAAGGTAATTTTCAAACACAGGAATAATTTTATAGCGCAAAAAAAAACCATGTTCAATGTATTTGTATTTCGACATTTGCGAGGTTTATTCGTGAAGTTTCTTGTTAGCTGCAACAATGGTAAATGTAACATTCACGAAAAAAAATAATTTCCTAATCACTGGGTAAGTAAGAGAGAAAGAAAATCGACCCGTAATTTAGAATACTCACCGTTATTATTATTGAAGTTCATTGTCAACATGCTGCTAATTTTCAAGTGAAGTATATTTTTGCGAAAAGATTCGCATTCACAAGTACCCTGAACACGTGCTTATGGATAAAGCGATCTTATATCTAAGATTGTGATTGAACGGCGTTGATTAATTATTTACCATGAGATTTTATCTGCCATGCGTTGGCGTTCATAGATAATGTGTACCATTGGAGGGGCAACATAATCATTAGTTTTATCGTTCAAAGTAACTCGTTGGACACACTCTTGGTACCGGTTACGTGACAATAGAGAGAGAACTAATAGCATACTGTGCTCTGTACGACATTTAATGCAAAATAGGACGATTTTTTTTTACTATTTTCATTAAATTTATTCTCCCATTCGTTGTCCAAAGATTGGAAGATGGTGTGTATACAGAAGATCATTAAATTGTTATATATTGTTAGGTAGGTTTGTCTGAAATTCCACGTGAAACTATGGCGTGAGAATGTATTATGGGATGAATGTCCAGATATGTCAGCGTATTCCGACTTACAGAAATAAAAAAAAATACTCTGACACACATAGTAACCTAACGTCACAGGTATGTAATTATATATCAGTGTTTGTTGGACCCCAAGGTGCTAGTTCATGGTTACGGACGGCATTTTCCAATTTATATTTACTCCAATGATTTGTCTCGGGAAATGGTATCGTAACAGTATCGAAATATTCCTTTAATTTCTTCAGACATTCCAACGCTTTGTCGGGCATCGAATTTGATAGATCATTTGATTCGGTCTCGTCGTCGACGATGTTGTATAGACGTATATGTTTTTCTTTGTTGATTTCAACAGTTTCTTTGTCAGTCTCAGGGGGAGCGTACCATGCCTCCGGACCTAGAACGAATTATTGACAGTCGCATAATGTAAAGAAATAACAAGCATAACGAACATATTCATTATATGCTAGTCAATTTCAACAGCCACTGGCGTGGGATCTGAAAACCTTTATGCAAATTTACTAAGTGATCTCCTAGCTGGTATTGGGATTGGCAGCTCTGTGCAGAATGACGCGTTCGGAGCCACGGGCAGTCTGTATCACTTCTACTGCATGGAGTCGCATTTGAAATTGCAACAACTGGATATTCTACTCTGGGAATGCGCGGAAAATGACCTTGTCGACGACAATGGATGTGTTCACCAGGAAGAATTGACAAGGAGGATTTTGAGCTTGCCTTCAGGACCGCAGCTCATATATGTGAATTTTATAATGAGTCAAACGGCAGAGTCGCCAGTAGGGACTTCAGCTAGCGGCAATTGCAGCAAAATGCTAAGTAAATACTACGATGTACCGTCTATTAGTTTGCTCGACTCAGCAGATGATATGATCAGCGCTCGCAATACAAAGAGTCTTTTCAGTCCTCGTGATCACAACCATCCAAGCACAAAATCTCACAATATGATTGCGATATATCTGTTTTATATGATTAAGAATGCCTTTGTATACACTCTCAAAGAATTCAACGGTAAGCAAGATACGATGGTGAAAACGTCTTATCCGCTCGCGAATGAACTCCCCGAGTCGCTATACAACTCTACTGTTCACATCAATCAACCACAGTGTTGGAAAACTATGTTATCTGGCTCTGGGACCAAAACGCCACTTGAGGCAATGGAACGCGATATTGGATGGAGACTGTTTACGTGTCCAGACAGGATGGCCCACCAGGGAAGGGTTGATAAAAAACGCTATTGGGTGGCGAGAAAACCTAACCAAACAATAGTCTTTAGTGTCAGCATCGAACCTTTCAAGAACCTGAAAAGTAAACTGTTAATTGGTAAAATCAACGAAAATTCTCGTGGACCGGCTTTAGTTTGGCTTGATGGTGAATTCAGTCATCGACACACATTAACGTTGGGTATAACACTGATAATTACTCTGTTTACAGTGCGTTCACAAACATAGCCCCGGGTAACCATACAATCGCTATACGATCAGGAGAGAGGCCTTTAAAGATTTCAACAATTATTAGTGTATATGACAAAGACTAATTATCACACAACAAACGTAATTCATAATACCGAATTTGTTGAATACGTATTTCAATTAAATCCGTTTACTCGATTCTGATTTCCAGAATGATTTATTCAAATCATTTCGTGTCATTTCATTGCATTTGCATGATTGGGATTAGAGTAGGAAACAGAAATGTTTGTTTATTTCAATATAAATAAAATATAAATAAAATATAAATTGTATATAATGTTGACAATCAAGTCTATGTCATGAATTAGTTTCCGCGTATCTGTTGTCCGACTTATTTAGTTGATTACTAGTGAATGGCTGTGTTATATCTGTCATCATTTAGGCTCATGGGAGGTCCTAGACGGAACTTGGTTCAGTGATTTGGAACTAATTGAGATATAACCGTTGCTATCCGGACCGCTATTTCTGACAGTTGGTATTCGCAGTTAGTAATATAGTGAACAATTAATCAAAAGCTATGACGTATCCAGTACTTAGTTTGACTGGCTATGTGCAAGTTGAATGTGTAAAGGCCACGCCTTAAATTCTTTAAACTGCTTTGTAATTGGTTAAGTTTTGATAGGTAATAAACAGACTAAGTCCTTGGTCCCAGAGAGAGCTCCACGAGGCGAGAGAGTCTTCTTGGTCAGTCCTGGGAAGAGTCTCCGACGAGGCAGTTTGCCGTCTCATCAGCCTCCGCTGCGCGTCGGTCGATACTTCCGCTGTACTGCCTTCGTGCATACTTTTCAGTATCTCCGTAATAAATTCATAATATATTTACACACGAGCAATAGCAAGTGGGTATAAGGGAGTGAACTGGACAAAATGTCTTGGTATAGTTGGGTCCTCATGGGACGTATGGTTATTCCTATTATATTACACCAGTCTCAATTTCAAGGTAATTTTCAAACACAGGAACAATTTTATAGCGCAAAAAAAAAACATGTTCAATGCATTTGTATTTCGACATTTGCGAGGTTTATTCGTGAATTTTTCTTGTTAGCGGCAACAATGGTAAATGTAACATTCACGAAAAAAAATAATTTCCTAATCACTGGGTAAGTAAGAAAGAAAGAAAATCGACCCGTAATTTAGAATACTCACCGTTATTATTATTGAAGTTCATTGTCAACATGCTGCTAATTTTCAAGTGAAGTATATTTTTGCGAAAAGATTCGCATTCACAAGTACCCTGAACACGTGCTTATGGATAAAGCGATCTTATATCTAAGATTGTGATTGAACGGCGTTGATTAATTATTTACCATGGGATTTTATATGCCATGCGTTGGCGTTCATAGATAATGTGTACCATTGGAGGGGCAACATAATCATTAGTTTTATCGTTCAAAGTAACTCGTTGGACACACTCTTGGTACCGGTTACGTGACAATAGAGAGAGAACTAATAGCATACTGTGCTCTGTACGACATTTAATGCAAAATAGGACGATTTTTTTTTACTATTTTCATTAAATTTATTCTCCCATTCGTTGTCCAAAGATTGGAAGATGGTGTGTATACAGAAGATCATTAAATTGTTATATATTGTTAGGTAGGTTTGTCTGAAATTCCACGTGAAACTATGGCGTGAGAATGTATTATGGGATGAATGTCCAGATATGTCAGCGTATTCCGACTTACAGAAATAAAAAAAAATACTCTGACACACATAGTAACCTAACGTCACAGGTATGTAATTATATATCAGTGTTTGTTGGACCCCAAGGTGCTAGTTCATGGTTACGGACGGCATTTTCCAATTTATATTTACTCCAATGATTTGTCTCGGGAAACTGTATCGTAACAGTATCGAAATATTCCTTTAATTTCTTCAGACATTCCAACGCTTTGTCGGGCATCGAATTTGATAGATCATTTGATTCGGTCTCGTCGTCGACGATGTTGTATAGACGTATATGTT